GAAAAAACGAAAACTAGCTGAAAACTGTGCAACTTCTCACAAAGCTGCTTCCATATCCATGCTCCCAATCCCAATTCAACATACTCATTCGAGACTAAAACTAAAAATACATTTCTTAAGCAGACGCACCTGTTTAATACTTCTAAATCACACATTCTTTAAAATATTACTGCATTTATTGAAGTTTACCAGCTGATTCTACAATCAGTAGTTTCCAAATAAATTTACAATACTAAAAAAAACATGAAGTGAAATGCATTTTAAATAGGAATCAATACATCGGGCATTACTTCAAAACAACATTTTCATAATAATTCATAGTAAAAAAAATGAGGAAAGTAACTCATCAACACTGAAAAAATTTCATCAGTTAATCTGCCAAACGTAATAAAAAATACTTTATGAATCCAATACATGCCTATTAATTTTTTTCAGACGACTAGACGTCTTGTGCGTTAGATTTGAAGTTCGGCCATGAGGCACTTCAAATGGAGGAGCGTGGTTTGTTGTTTTTACCGGATGCTTATAATAATATACTTTAATGTAGTTCTTCAACATTTGCGGCAAATTCAACCGATCCACACCGTCGTACGTAACCATACTAGCTATAGCACCTCTACACAAATTCTGTAACAAGTAAGCCACTCAAACTAAAGAAGTGTGAGGTAAAAAAACATAGTGTAAATTCAGAGAGTGATTTTCTTCTTCAAAAAATTTGTTACTGCACTGCTTTCAGCTTTTAAGCAAGTAATCTAAAAAAAATCTAAAAAACAATACCTGTAATGAAAATACGTAATTTCGTGGCAGTGGTATAGTAAGTTGAGGTTCAAAGAAAAGACAACTGAAAAGAAAAAACATTTTCTTTTTCAAAACTTTGTTGCCTTGACATTCTGCATCTGCTATACGCTACTTGTGTCTAAACCCCTACGTGTTTTCAAAAAAAAATTAATAAACGGTCTCAGGAAAGCAATAAACATCTTACGACTTTTAACATTTTTTACTGTACAATAACGTCTAAAACATTAGAAAGAAAAACAAACAAATGATTCATTTGTAAAGGAAATTTGAACCACAAAACTGGCTAAGAAAGTTTTTAAAAAATAAAATTAAATAAATAACTCCATAACTGCAGCTACTGCACAAGACACTGTCTTTGTGGGTAAAAACAAAACACTAATTAAATAAAAAGCAGTAGGTCTAAAAAACTCACTTAGTCGCATCATTATAGTAAGCAATGAGATCAGTAATAGTGGGTGCAGAATACAAGGTTGTGTCAGAAAAGTCAAAGCTGAAGTAATGATTCTTCTGTTCAATTCGTGCATGCAAAGTGCGTTTATATCGTCTAAAAGATACAGAGAAAAGATATTCCGACTGAGCACTATCTCTGAGCAAAAATGTTCCTGGAATAAGAAACAAAAAATTAAGTAAAGCCACCTCTGTCTGAAAAAAATGTAACAGATTAGCTAACAAAACAGGAAACCTGAAACATTGCTTGACCATTTTTCATTTCAGGCTGCAAGTGTATAATGCAAAAATAATTGTAACGTATAACCTTCAGGCTTATTATCTAAGAGGTCTTCCGCTTCATAGCGATCCATAACACCCCAGTAGTAAGACGCTGCCATAATTTTATCTAATCCAGGAACTAAACAGTTTGTGTAATCCACCGAAGTGTGCACAACGTAGCTACTGTCATCTACATCGTCTGCAAGAAATAGATTCATTAACCCTAAAAATATAAATTCCTCAAAAATGATTTAATATTATTATTCATTAAATTCCTAACCAGAAAAACTTCATAAAAATGGTGGTAAATAAGGAGGAGTTGCCTTGAAAGTTAGTAATATAAAGAAACCTAAACTATGACGATAATCCTGAGATCCTGACGGTCCTGGTTGCTGTGTACTGGAAATATCAGATGTTATTACACAAGGAATTCCTCGAGAAACCAATCCAGTTTTAAAACTTAGAAAATTCGAAGAACCAGACACACCTAAACGCCAAACGTAGAGTTTGAAATCTTGCGATAAGGATAATTCCAATCCAGCTGAGGAACATTTACACGAAAATGTTAGAATTGAAAAAATACAAATAGTCTGATGAAGAAATCAGTCACCGGAGCCTAACAAAGTTTCATACCGAAAAAAAAAA